CCTCCTTCTCACCATGGTGGGGTTCAGCTGTGTGTTTGGGCTAAAGAGGGCTACCTTCGCTGGGGCAGGGGTCCTGGCTGCTCTTGTTATGTCTACTGTAGCTGCTCAAACCTGGCAGACTAAGGTAGGAGCCGCTGGTTTTTAAGTCTTTTACTTTCACTTTTATTTGTTAATAAATTTATCCAATGGACTGATAAAGTTTAATTTGTAGCTCACTATCCTTGTCGGCAGTATTTATCACCTCTCACCTTGTCACCCCAACAGACTGAGATATCAGCGTCTCTACAGAAGTTATGGCTGGTAGGGGAGACTCTGCTCTTCACTCTGGTCGGAGCTCAGGTGGAACTTTCTTTACTCAACTATAAGATAGTCGGTGAGTTGGAGAATGAGGCCTGTTAACTCTGATCATTTGCTACTTTAGGATAGTGAATTAGCAATATGTTATTGTGTATTCTTTAAATCTGGAAGAGTTTAAATGACCAGGTTACGGTGTGGTTTGTTTAATAGTGGGAGTATTGCTACGATGTGGGGTGGCGTTCCTCTCCGTCCACTGCTCTTCCCTGCATCTTAGTGAGAAACTGTTTATGTGCGCCTCTTGGACTCCCAAAGCTACTGTGCAGGTATATTATCCATGTATTTCTCTAAGTTTTCCTTGGTTGATAATCTATTATTGACTGTAATAATTTATAATTAGCTGTTATAACTGTTCTGAAACTCCCTTTTCAAGTTCTGAAACTCTCTTATGTTCCAGATAACCGACATGCTCCCTTTTCAGGCTGCTATTGGGTCAATAGCTCTTGACAGAGTACGAGAGACCCTCCCAGGAGACAAGACAGCAGAGTTGTACGGTGTAACAGTGTTGTGTGTAGCTGTGCTGGCTATTATCGTCACCTCCCCACCTGGTGCTGCTCTCATTTCTCTACTCGGACCTCGTCTACTAGACTTTAAGTACAGACTACACTTCTATTTATAGGAATTATCCCTAGAGCCGTTTTACTTAGCACAAAAAAATTCAGTCTGCTTCAAGATCCCCTTGATCGGTTTGGTATTTGGTAAAATTCTTTTTTTTTTCGCACTCACTGAAACTAAAAGATACCTTTTACAGGTCAGAAGAAGTTGAACCTATCCGTGTGAAGGAGAGTGAGAAGGAAGAAGTATCCACTGGTTTAAACAGCGTACATAACTCTGACGATGCAGATGGTTATAGGAATGTTTAACTCAAGAATAGCAGATACACGAATGGATTGAGATTTACGGTTCATTATAGCACTCATATCCCTGAAATCAGTTTGACTAGACGCTTAATTAATGTTACAATAATTAAATCGGTAAATAGAATAGTAATTTTACAATATATATATAGATAACATTAATTCATTAATTCATCAAATCACTTCAGACTTTTCGTAAAATTGTTGTACAGTCATCATTATCACAGTCATCACTCCCTTCCATCTTTGAAGTTGTTGCTCTCTTGCCCTCGACCCCGGTTGGAACGTGGTGAGAAGGACTTGGTCTGAAGACATGTCTCAGTAGCTGTTTTAACACGGAACATGTGCCTTATCTGTACCTTCTAGATTTGTGTTTCTTTACATAGTGCTCGAAGCTCTCCAAACTGCTGTCGCTCTCCGAGCCCGACGAATCCTTGTACTCGATAACAGCGGGGTCTTCCCATCTCTTCATAATGCACATGCTGCCCCTCGCCCTCTCGCTGTTTCCCAAAGTCATCGTCCGTATCCCAGGGTCCACATCGAACCGGACGTTAACCGGGTGCCTTCTTCTGAAGTTACAGCACGAGCCGGAGAATGTGCGCATCCGGAGTGAAATCCGGCCGGACATCTCCACGTTATAAGTGATGAAGATGACCGGATCGAAGGCAGAGTTCATGAAGGGCAGGATTACACCCGTAATGAACAAGATGGTGCAGTTCGGCTCTGAAATTGTTAGACATAATTATCAATTATAATGTGTTCTACTTGAAATGAAATTAATTGTAACACAATATACTATATACAGTTCCTGCTCAGAGTAGAATCGGCGGCAGCAAGCGTGGGACTACACATAAACGAAGGCAAGACCAAGGTCATGACACTGAATATGGAGGATCGATCTAGCGACCTACAAAGTCGATCCGGGGAAGCCATAGAAAATGTAGATGATTTCATCTACTTAGGCTCCTGGATTGAGAGCACAGATAGGGAGATAAGGGTTAGAAAGGGAAAAGCGTGGGGTGCCCTACATAGACTGAAGGATATCTGGAAATCCAAACTCTCAAAGAGCCTAAAGATTAGATTGTTCATAGCGGCTTGTGAATCAGTACTGCTCTACGGATCAGAAACCTGGACACTGACAAAGGCTCAAGAGAAAAGTTTGGACGGGACATACACAAAGATGTTGCGTATGGTGCTGGGTATCTCATGGAAGGACAAGGTCAGCAATATAACTTTGTATGGTAGCCTCCCAAGGCTGTCAAACAAGTTACGAAGCAGGAGATTAAAAATGGCGGGACACTGCATCCGACATCCTGAGCTACTTGCCAGTGATTTAGTCTTATGGGAACCTACGCACGGTAGAGCACAGCAAGGCCGACCAAGACAAAGCTACTTGTCTATGTTACTGAAGGAAGTTGGGACAAACTCTAAAGAGGAACTGCGAACCCTGATGCGGGACAGGGATATATGGAGGGGGTTTTCTGGCGTACATCGGACTTAGCTCCGACATAGTAGTAGTAGTAGTAGTATATACAATATGAATATGGACATCATTATTCCAATTGTGATAAGTCCAATATCGGCGCTATGAAAGACGATAGTATGATAATAAAATCCAACAATGATTCAATATAACCAAGTGAACAATAGTACATGGTTGGCCTCATGTTTTTATCTAAATGATTTGTATGAAACAAAAGGTCAGCCTCGTACAAAATAACAATGGATTGACAAGGGTTTTCAACTTACTTTTGTCGGATTTAGGGTAAGCAACATCGATTAGCATGAGGACCACATAAGGCAGGTAACATGCCAGTAACAGCGCCGTCAGAGCCACATCTGTAACCTTGCTCTGACCGTATGTTGGCTGCTGGACCACACCTCTGTAGGTTTGATCTGCCTTGAGTTTGTGCAGGTAGTCCGCTCTGTGTTTCTGTCTCTGTTTGTAGAGACACACTGCCAGACTGGTGAGTATGATGCCTAGAGGCAGGACGTACAGGATACATATGGACACTATCCTGAGACTATTTTTCTTAGTGTTTCGCTCTGGGTAGTAGATGTACTGTTGCATGTTTACCTGGTAGATTGATTGGTGGTCAAGTTTTAAGTTTGATGAAAAGCACAAGTCAAGCAGAATGCTTTAGTTAAATCGGTTAACTTCTACTATACATGTGTTCATTGTTGTGACAGTAAAATAGTATTTATATCAATGAAGAATTATTAATATTTATTTGATATTAATATTTATATTAATGAAGAAGCTGCCTTATTTCTTATACCAACCACAAGTAAAAAGTACCTAGTAGTCGTATAAAATTAGAAGCCTAGAGTGACTAAACCGTACCTCTGCTGGAAGAGCGAACTGGAAGTCGAGAGTTCCCGCCAAAAACAGCATCCAGCCAATGGGGAACAGTAAGATAACAGCAGAGCTTGTCCTCCTTGAGAAGACATGAGTGGGACTGCAGTACTTGACTGCTCTCATCGATATGAGAATAGTATTGTAGACCAACTTGGAGTTCCTAGCAGTGGAGGTGAGCGTGTAGGTAACAAATATGAGGTAGTTGAAGAGTTTCTGGGAGCCTGGGGTGTCTTCAGGGGAGTAGAGCACGTAGAGGAGGAGGAGGATGGTGTGGATGACAGCGTCCAGACCCAGGACACTGTTACAGAGCGTGGTGATGAAGTAGTACAGGGGGAAGACCCCCTCCCTCTTCTCCCTGTAGTAGCCTAACACGTACATGTTGAGCAGCACTGTTTGTAGACCCAGCATGAAGGTGAAACCTGCGATGTAGGTGTGCTGGTCCCCTTTTATGTCCAGCTTAATTATCGCGCTCTTATTAAATGTGTACGCGCCAGAACAGAGCGTTAACGTCCTCGGAATAAGCCATCCTTCAGCCATCGCAATAGCTCCTACGTGAAATCAGAGCTTTGACTGTTCTGATCTCTCAAACGAAGGAATGCTAAGATTGAAAAATGACAATGTATTATAAGCAGGAGCTGGTTTTGTCAAAGGAAAATAGACGACGAAATATCCTGTCGAGAAATCATTGTTCAACCTGGACGGTATTTATGTCAAACTTGGAATAAATGAACTTTTTGTGGTCAGCTGTAATGTTTTAATAACATCCTCAATAACGCCATTATGAGCCGAATGATGTTCCACCCTCATTTTAATTGGTACACATCACTTGGTGTAATGAAAAAGCTATGCTATAGTGTAATCCGACTAGTAACTGTAGTGATGGCATTTTTCTTTCTTGATATGCTGAGCTACACGAGTCTGGATAACTAAGGTGGTCTATTAATGCTTCGTTTTATACAATTTCAATACTGTGAACCATGACCATGTCACATGTTCAGTGTCGTTTTCTGGAAAACTGGTAAAAAAGATATTTAAGTCTAAAGAAAAGCGGTCCACTGACAGTGGTGTCTACCAACTAGTGTCTACCACAGTATAAGAGAAACTAATAAATGTATAATATTCACCTTGCTCTACTCAAACAATTAAATTATAAGATATTTAAAATACATCGGGCTTGTCAAAATAGTCATCTACATTATAGCATTAGCAATTAGCAAGTGCTCACCACTTTTCATGGCAAAGTCTATTAGTTTAGTAAGTTCCTCAAGGGAAAATACTACAATATAATCAAGGTACGATGTTGGATACCTGAGTTCTATATCTTTCGATAGCAACTCCATCTATGTATCTGCTTAGCTTCCATCACTGATCCTGGTACTTGAGATTCCAGGTGTGGCTTTAAACAATGTTTTAAGGGCCCAACACTCAGCTCACTCAGTTGATGGTAGAACAGTGGGTCTTTGTGCGATGTTGTAGCAGGGACTCCACTTCTTGTTTTCTCTTGCTAACCAGATTGCATAGGAACATCTGAGAGCAACCAAAGCCGCCTCTTGGAACACTGCTTTCTTTACTCTCTTTGTAACACCAAAGTAGTTTAGTAGGGCTGGTAAGGTATGATGCCAGAAGCCTCTACACCCAACCTCTACCGTAAAAAGCTGAGCTTTCCACCCACTGCCATGCAGCCCAGGAATAAGCTCTCTGTTGTAACGTGCTTGTTTACGTTCTACTTGGTCACTAAAGTTACTCTCGTCACCAACTGTCAACTCTACTAATATGACCACCTTTCCTTTATCAGACCAGACTACAATATCGGGACGTTCTGCAGTTCCGTAAATGTGCTGGGGGAACTGTGCTGGGAGGTCATCTTCGTCCCAGATAATCTGCCAATCTTGGTCTTTCTCAAAAGGGCTCTCTCTTTTCATCTTCGTCTTCGGTTTTTGGTAACAGCTGCTAGATGACTTGAAGCCTGTCCAGTCCTGAACTTCAAGTTTAAAATCTTTGTTGTTGAACTTCTCGATTTGATCCAGTAGGGATTTCGCAATGACCCGCAGCACGTTGTCATGCCTCCAATTGTATCGTTTGTTGTTCAGCGAGAAGTTGCAAGCTACCAAAATGTGCTTAATGTTGCAGTGTCTCCATCCGCAAAGTGGACAGTGTCCTGTGTCAGCATAGTTCCACAGGCTCATGTTTGCTGGAGTATTTGCAACGTCATGGGTTGCATTGAGGTGGAACTTAAGAAGAGCAGGGCTCATCTTGTAGTTGTAAATAAGGTTGTTCCAACCTAGGTCTAGCTGCATGGTGTTTTCCCATGTTAAGAATTGTCCTTGAACTCCCTTGTCTACCAGTGTCAACAGGATATCCTGCTCTGAGATGTGGGATACCAGTTCTTTCAGTTTTTCCTTTTCACTGGCTACACTCCTCTTGGATCCCAAGCCCATCCTGCCTTGCACTGTTACCCCTACTAACTCTCTGAAGTAGAGATCTCTTTCTCTAGCACTCAGCTCATTAGTGTAACCCCACCGACTGCTCCCTTCTTGTTTCTTGGCCCTGTGCTCGTAGACCTCCTTAACTTTAGGATCCTTGCTGTTCTTTAGAGAGTAACCTTTGGACACCTGAAGGAACTTGTATAAGTCCGATAGTCTTTTAAGATTCAATCCAAAGCAATCCTTATTTCTGTAAAGCACACTGACAGTAATTGTCTTTGTTACACCTAGCCATTTCTTCAGATACTTCGTACATATTGCTTCAAGATCTTTGACAAAACTAACCGGGAGATTGTAGATCATCAGGTCCCAGGAGAACTTGCTGGTTAGGAGGTTGTTGTAAATCCAGCATTTCATCACTCCATTAAGGCCTGATCCGTCCACTGCCTGAAACAGTGTAATCAGTTTGTCTTCTATCAGCTTCTTGGTATCTTTAAGGCCCAGATCCACATATATCCAATGGCCAAGAAACTTCATCGGTGTATTTCCAATAAACTGGATTTGAGCTCCATCTATGAAAATTTCAGGGTCATAGGACACATACCTTCCATCTATAACCTTCATCCCCAGGGATACGCATTTACTCGGCTTGGCTTTCATTTTCCTTGACCAAGTAAGAAATCTTTCCATCACATCTATTAGCTTCTTCATCTTTTCCAGCCTGGGAGACATCAGAGTTAGGTCGTCAGCAAAAGCACGACTTGACGTGCTGCTAGAACTAAAAGACGGCTTGTAACCCAAGTCGCTTTGATTTTTCAGGAGATCCAATAGTAGGTTGAAAACTATTAAGAACAGTACAACCGATAGAGGGTCGCCCTGAAAAAGACCTAACATATAAAAGAACCAGTTTGTTTTCCAGTCCTTTGTCACCACTCTCACAATCAGCTCATCATAGTACTTAAACATATATTCTATGAGCCAGTTTGGGAACTTATAATGTCTTAGAGCATATATTATCAAGTTGTGGGGAACCCGGCCGTACGCGTTCATTAGGTCCACCCAAACTGCAAAGATCTGTCGTCTATTAGATTTGGCATCCTTCAACTCTTCCATCAGAGCCTGAGTATGCTCGAGGCAACCTGGTGTCTTACGCAGGAATCCTTTCTGGATAGACGTGTCTATGTAGCTATTGCTGACCATATACTCTAGCATTCTGTCCGCTAGTAATCCCATCTGCAACTTCCCACTAGTGTTTGTTTTAGTGATGTTTCTGAACTTACTAGGGTCATCTAAATCCTCAGTTTTTGCTATCAGAATGGCTTCACCTACTCGCCATTGCAGCGGGACTCTCTGGCTTTCCCATAGAGAATCCAGCAATTTGAATACTGCTTTCGCCATTCTGGGACATCTCTTATATACCAGATATGGGACTCCATTCGGACCAGGTGATGATTTATTTCTACGGCTTTTCAGCTTCGTTTGAAACTCATCCCAGTCCAATCTCTCCATCTCAAATGCAGTCTTTGGTACTGGGGCATCGGGCAGTCCTTTAAGCTTTACATATAGAGCACTTCTCTCCTTATCACAGTACTCATTCTTAAAGAATCTGTCAGCCACTTCCTTGGAGAAATTAGGGGGTTTGTTCTTCTTATCCCCGTCCAGCAGTTTCCTTCCAAATTGAAATGGGTTTTGTTTAAACTGTGACTGTTCCTTTTTGCTCTCCTTATTCTTCTTCTTCCTGAGCTCATTACGACGGCTTTTGTTGTGTAAGCGCACGAGTCTCAGGTACTCAGTCTTAGCTTGAGCCAACATATTCTGATCATTGCTTCTCCTAGCATCTTTCTTGTTTCTCTTAGCCTCTCTCTTGGCCAAGCGAATAACTTTTGTCTCCTTGTTCTCCTTTTCCTTCTGGGGAACACGAGGTTTCTTCGCTTCCTCTTCACCGAATCTGCTTTCCAGATAGCTGTATACCAGCTTTTCTACCTTCTCCAGTCGGGACTCCACGTCCTCTGCTGCTACATTGTTCACCAAAACAATCAGGTCTTCATCAATTCCCTTCCATACTCCCTTCTCTGCTGCTGTTGGTAGTTTAAGTTTCTTTGTGGCCTCCATCCCTATGGCAGGCGGTTCTAAGTCTTTAAAGTGGAACTGTATATCAGAGCTTGCAGGTCCCGTTTCTGCGCTGTGGTTGTAAACCTGGCTTGTTCCCTGCTCCGACAAATTATTACGGATGTCATCTCCCCTCACCTGAGGCTCGGTTATGAGCTCCGCCGGTCTCATCTTACATCTCCACAGATGTTTTGCGACTTGTTTGAACTCGCGCTTGCACCATTGACAAATATTGTCGTCCTTTCTCAAAGGTCCTTCATCAGTTAATCCGGGTTGACCTTTGATGCTCCCCACCTGATCGGAGGTCTTGAGGCATTTATCTGTATATTGTTTTGTAGTGATTGCTTTCTGTAAAGCGGGGGCCTACTAAGCCTATTGCTAAACTCTGCACTTTCGCAGGGGTCATCAGTCTTTCCAGATGTCACCAGTCTTTCCCAGGCGTCACTCGGTCTTTCCCAAGAGTCACTAACACTTTCGTCAGAGTCAGCTGTCTTTCCCGCTGTCAACAGTGAAACTCGCCTCCCTGCAAGGCGCCATGTCCATTTCCATTGTGAGAAAATACTACAATATAATCAAGGTACGATGTTGGATACCTGAGTTCTATATCTTTCGATAGCAACTCCATCTATGTATCTGCTTAGCTTCCATCACTGATCCTGGTACTTGAGATTCCAGGTGTGGCTTTAAACAATGTTTTAAGGGCCCAACACTCAGCTCACTCAGTTGATGGTAGAACAGTGGGTCTTTGTGCTTTCCACCCACTGCCATGCAGCCCAGGAATAAGCTCTCTGTTGTAACGTGCTTGTTTACGTTCTACTTGGTCACTAAAGTTACTCTCGTCACCAACTGTCAACTCTACTAATATGACCACCTTTCCTTTATCAGACCAGACTACAATATCGGGACGTTCTGCAGTTCCGTAAATGTGCTGGGGGAACTGTGCTGGGAGGTCATCTTCGTCCCAGATAATCTGCCAATCTTGGTCTTTCTCAAAAGGGCTCTCTCTTTTCATCTTCGTCTTCGGTTTTTGGTAACAGCTGCTAGATTACTTGAAGCCTGTCCAGTCCTGAACTTCAAGTTTAAAATCTTTGTTGTTGAACTTCTCGATTTGATCCAGTAGGGATTTCGCAATGACCCGCAGCACGTTGTCATGCCTCCAATTGTATCGTTTGTTGTTCAGCGAGAAGTTGCAAGCTACCAAAATGTGCTTAATGTTGCAGTGTCTCCATCCGCAAAGTGGACAGTGTCCTGTGTCAGCATAGTTCCACAGGCTCATGTTTGCTGGAGTATTTGCAACGTCATGGGTTGCATTGAGGTGGAACTTAAGAAGAGCAGGGCTCATCTTGTAGTTGTAAATAAGGTTGTTCCAACCTAGGTCTAGCTGCATGGTGTTTTCCCATGTTAAGAATTGTCCTTGAACTCCCTTGTCTACCAGTGTCAACAGGATATCCTGCTCTGAGATGTGGGATACCAGTTCTTTCAGTTTTTCCTTTTCACTGGCTACACTCCTCTTGGATCCCAAGCCCATCCTGCCTTGCACTGTTACCCCTACTAACTCTCTGAAGTAGAGATCTCTTTCTCTAGCACTCAGCTCATTAGTGTAACCCCACCGACTGCTCCCTTCTTGTTTCTTGGCCCTGTGCTCGTAGACCTCCTTAACTTTAGGATCCTTGCTGTTCTTTAGAGAGTAACCTTTGGACACCTGAAGGAACTTGTATAAGTCCGATAGTCTTTTAAGATTCAATCCAAAGCAATCGCAGGGGTCATCAGTCTTTCCAGATGTCAAATTTCCAGCTCAAATTTCGAGAAATGTGGTCTGATTTTAATAATACTATGATGTCGATTAATCTTAAACCAGTTAGGCAAACTTTAGAGATGAACATGCAAGGGTACATTCCTCAGATCCTGAACAAATATAGTCGATGATTCTGAAGTCAAAATTGCTAAGTTTATCCACAAAATGTGATTACAAGTCTAACTAAAACGATTACTAGTCTGACCTAAATTTAACCGAGCGGTATTACCAATTACGTACAAAGATTACCCCTCGCTACAAAGATGATAGATGGAACATGGCTAATGCTATGGCAACCCACTCAACTCATGAACCACCACTAAACACTATCGTTAACTTCTTACAGAATTGATTGTGAATATTAATGGATAAGATGTTCTTTAAGCTTTAAAATAAACTTTATATAAATCTGCACAGATGATATAAAGTTTTCTAATTTTTTTTTCAGTCTAGGGAGAAATCAAACTTGATTTTAACTGGTGATACTCGTAAAATATTTGTTTGTCGACGAGTACAGTCCAACTCGGCGCGCGTCCTGGTATAGTAGGTTATAAACCTACAAACTTGATTTTCAGTTCATTCCAGAAATTTGTTTGTTTTAATGTTAATTTGTATGTTTTAAAATGTTCAATATTATTCAAAATTATCATGTTTTGCTTATTTCGTTTGTCATGTCGACAATAATGCGATACGTGTACATGGTTTTTTAATTTCAGGTCAGATAAAAACAGCCACAACTTTTACAAGTACGTACGTGCCCGTGTTGTAGCGCGATGCACTACTGGGTCACGCCGCGCATTTTCTCGTATGCAGATCGGCGAGATGCGAAGGATTGACATCGTGAATCAAGTGCCCGCGATCTTCATTATGCTGATCGAAGATAAGTGTACAATTTGTATGTCACACGTTCAACGGTTCAGCACTTTAGCAAGCTCTTAATTGACGATGTCAATTCTTCGCAGCTCGGCGAGGCCCAGTTGCGCATCTCGTTAGTTGACGATGTCAATTCATCGCAGCTCGGCGAGGCACAGTAGTGCATCTCGCCGATCTAGTTGCTCTATCCAGAGCCCTTGCGCTTGCAGTAGCGCGCGCCCGCCTCACGGCGGTAAAAAGGGCTCTAGCCATGAACCCACCCAACGATTTTGGCACCACTGTACAGTGGTGCCAAAATTACCCGCGCTTTTGTCCTCATATCCGACGCCGCGCGTGTCCTTTTAGTCATTTCACATTTGTTCGCCGCTTTGAATAATTTGTGTTCGACAAATTTCTCGTTGGATAAGATTTGAGATTAATATTATCAAATTTTCAGAAAGCTCAGTTAGTTGTACTGCACTGTATTGTTTCTTTACACTGCCGAACGCCCATGATTCTCGAAACTCACACTTTTTATTCGTGATAAATTCCTTGTGAAACAAGCGCGCCCGCAGTGGCGCGAAAGCACATGGTTAGGTGAACCGATCTAGCTTGTAGCGCGATGCGTTACTGTGCCGCGCCGCGCACTCAATAATGCTTCTCACAGCGACAGTAACGTGAATTCCAGTTTTCCAACTCCCAGCTGCTGGGAGTTGAAACTACCGGAGCGCATTTTTATTTGAATTCTATTTGGAGTCGAGCGCTACGTTATACTCTTATATATAGCTCGTTTCGAGACTAAATCTTCATTTGTTCAGTTTGTCTTTCGATTACGTTTCTACTTTTATTTTAAATCGTGTATGCGAATCTTCTTCATTAATCATATGAACCAGCTGATTTTCGTAACGGAAGAGATATCAAGAATCTATCTTTTGAGCTTTAGTTACGTTTCTTCTCAATTTTGATAGAACATGGAACAGTTGTCGTTTTAGAACTAAGAACCTGTTGTGTTTTGTAGTAATTAAGCAATCTTGGGCTGAAACCATTTAATTCATTAATTCCGTATGATCTATTACTCAGCAAATTGAAGGTCAGGAATATTTTCATTTACATTGGGGACGGTACGATTACCAGCTTATTAAGCAAATACAGAAACTCGACTGACTTGTTTGAGTTTGTGTAAGTTAGTTCAGTTACTAGAAACTAATGTCCTCTTTTACAGGAACTTCAAAACTGTCAACGCCGGTTTAAATGCTTTTATACAGAAACTGATTTAATATATGTACATATATATATATATTGTATAAGGCCCTTATAATAAGGGTAAGTCAAGATCACTGTCCAATTTTGATATTTCAATTTTCAATCATTGATTTATGAAGTAGCATGGTTGTTGAATGTTTAAATTGGTTTAATAGGCTTGTTCGACTATTTAGGTTCTACTTCTGAGCAGCATAGGCCGATCATAACACATTTCCCCAAAATATCGTATTTCAATATCATTAATATATGTCAAGAGATACATTACTATGTTACCAGGCCTGGCAGGCCGGCTGTTCGGATTAGTATCCATTATTGCTGAGATTAATTATACATGGTGAGTATATTGACCAATACCAATCGTTTAATCGGTATTTACCTATTATCGGTGTCGTATTTTCAGCTAAATATTAAACAATCGAAACTTAAAAGGACCGTGGCCGTAACTTTGTACCCTCCTAGTCTTAGGTTATCACACCCCTATTTACCTCTTAATCACAGCCTAAATGTAGGAGTCATACAATAACATGATTATCGCTTGGGCAAGTTACATTATATTAGCCTCATCAGGTGAGCAGTCATGTAGATATATATTAGCTGTATTCGATTTAGGTAAGAAGTCACAGAAACTTGGAAGCTGATTTATTTGTATCTCTCCTAGTTCTGTGTAGGCTGCATTAAGGTTAGATGCTAGGGATACAAAATACTTATATTGAATTCATTAGCTATAACTCTGCGATCAGTTATCTTTTCATTGTCTATGGTAAATATAGGTCTGATATCACGTTTCTGTTTGCCACGAATTTTATTTATCAGCTCCCAGGTTTTCTTGGAGTTTCCCTGAGTTTCAAGAAACTTGTCAGAATAATATTCAGATACTGCCTTTTTACGAACCTTTTTTAGAGCCTTTCTATATTTCTATATGTAGTCATCATAACGGTATCTTTTATTACAGCAGATAGAACACAGGCATGTGCCCCCTTTTGTGTCAGTTTCGCCTTGTTTACACTTAACTTTCCTGACTTTTGCCCAGTCATCATACAGTCCATGGCAGTGGTTTACTGAGGCTATAATCCCGCCAGTAATCTAGGGGTTGTTCTGGATAGTGCGCTTAGTGGTTTTGGGTACAGCTAGTTTGCAGGTTTCGTCAATGCTGTTTTTAAAGATATCATGAAAGTTAGTAAAATCTATAATTGGTTCATTGTCTAGTTTGTATTGCATCACTTGATTTAATTGAATGAATATATAATACTGTTTGACACACTTCCTCTTGTCTAGTTTGTTACCCAAGACTTCAGCAAATTTATCAGTGTTTGATTTATAATAGTCATAATATTGAGTGTGCTTGTGAATATTTTTGGTCTTGCTAATTTCCCAGTCAAATATTGTAAATATAGGGAGGTGGTGAGATAATATGTGATCAGTTATGACATTAGGGCTGGAGTAGATAAGAAGTTGTTTTATCATTTAATAACCTGAATTTGTGTAGTCGATAAGATTTTGTTACCTTCTTATTCTGTACTTTCATGCTTATTAACACTGCAGCATGAGATTAGTATCCGCTCTGAAACCACAGTGTATAGCGTGTGTATTCTACCATGTTGCCCACATAAAACAAACATACGGGAGCCCTTTCAAATCGTAGGTTGTGTTTTAGTACGGCTGAGGCATTGTGAAATGATGATCAACACGACAGAATCAGAGAAATACTCTGAAACAATTTCCTAGGTTGACATGACTTTATTACTACCAAATTTGCAGGAAGTATGGTTTCTTGTCTGTTGCTGAATTGGATTTCAATTATTTCTCTCTTCTAATGATGTCGCAATCAGGCTAGACTGCAATTTTTAGGTAAGATTTTAAGTGATTTTCAGATTAAATTAATATATTTTAGCTTAGTGCAGGGTTAAAAAGGTAGAAACTCTTATTGCACTATATAATAATCATAATACTATAATATAATTAATAGGTTCATCAAAGTTTCTATCATGATTATAATCGCAATGAATTATCAATTTAGTTTAATACAAGTCTCTTCAGGTATCAAAGGGACACGCCTTAAAGAACAGTGATAACACTAAATGTATAGAAGCCTTATATAACAAGCCTACAATAACAGCTCAAAATGGTCGTATACGGCGGAGCTGACTGCTAGGGAGCGAGATCTCTACTTCCAGGAGCTGTTTGGAGTAGTAACTAAAGACCGAGCAGGACTCAGATGTAAACATGAGTCCTCCCCGGTGAACAAGGTAGTACAGGGCAGGTTCTTGACATGGGAGACACAACGCAATTAGACTTTATTGGAACAACCTCATCTACAACTACAAGATGAGCCCAGCTCTCCTTAAATTCCATCTAAACTCGACAAAAGGATTTGGCTAATACCCCTGCTAATATATGAAGCTGTGAAACTATTCGAGCACAGGAAACTTTTGGAAGACGTGTAACTTTAACCAGCTCCTGGCTGTCTAGTGTCTGTAGTGTAGCAAGAAACTCCAAGAGATACAACTGGGGGCATGACAACGTTCTGCGTGTCATAGCTGGAGCCTTGCTAGACCAACTCAAGACGTACAATTCCGCATTTTCCACGCCCTTCGACAAATAATCGTTACGGTTCAAGTTGGAGGATGGGAGCTATGATAAGCTGAAGTTGAGGAAGGAGATGCCGTTCGAGAGGGCGAAAGACTGGATGCTGATCTGGGACGAGGACACGATACCTGCCCAGTTCTACAACAAATCTACAACACATCCGAGAGACCTGACATTGTAGAGAGAAGTAATTCTGATTGAACTGACTTGTGGTGACGAGAGTAATTTCAGTGACCAAGTCGTGCGTAAATAAGTACGGTACAACAGAGAGCTGGCATCGACAGGTGCGTTTGGAAAGCTCAGCTCTTTACGGTAGAGATTGGGTACCATACTTACCAGCTCTACTCAACTACTTTGGACTGACGAAGAGAACGAAGAAGAAAGCACTGAATGAGGCTGCTTTGGTCGCTCCTAAATGTTCCTATGCCATTTAGTTAGCCCGTGACAGCAAGAAATGGTCTACCTTCTACGAACTCGCAAGGTAGAAGCCATTAACTGCGAAAGTTGGACCCATAAAACATGTGAAAGCTGCAACCAAGATCGCAAGTACTGGTGGAATACACGTACAGTAAATGCTTGCTGACTAGATGTATAAATGGAGTTGCTATCGAACGATGCAGAATTCAGGTAAACATCTAAACCTGTTATAGTTGATTTTTCTCATACACATTATAGCTCTTAAATTAAAAGCAAATCAAAGCCTTCATGTTGTGTAGCAGGTTGGTAGGTAGGGCGTGGACTTTGAACTAATTATACTTGGTAATGCTTAACAGGTAAATAGGAGGGAGATAATAAGCAGTTATCTCCCTGGTCCATCCTTAGTCGCTGAGATGTTGCTAATTATTTTTAAAACAGAAAGTGGCATAACTTATGTTCTGATAAATATTTTTGCTTCAAAATTTTACAGAATGTCAATAACAGGTAGTCAAACATTTGTGGCAAGTTTTGTGTAAGTGTGAGCTTCACTGAGCTTATTTGACCAATTTAAAATAATTAGCAACATCTCAGCGACCTGTAACAATTTTAAGAGATAAGGATGTGTCCTCTAGAAAGTTCGACTCTGGAATGTTATATGTAGTAATATCATCGGTCGTTAATTTCCGATGTAAATGCTGCATTCGGTAGCATCATTTCGTAGATCATCAGAGAATGCATTTACATCACTGCTTTTTTTATCCAACTCGTCAAACTCGTTGGATAAAACTATTTTCACAACTCAAAGTTGTGAAAATAATGTTATCACATTATAAGCAGTGATGTAACTGCTTATTACACCATATAATTATAATACTATATATAATAAATAGGTTCATCAACGTTTCTATAAGGATTATACTCGTACTGAATTATCAATTTAGTTTATTTAGTCTCTTCAGGTATCAAAGGGACACGTCCTGAAGAATGCAGTGATAACACTAAAGTTATAGAAGCCTACAATAACGATGGGTGCGGTTGGAAAGCTCAGCTCTTTACGGTAGAGATTGGGTGTAGGGGCTTTTGGCACTACATACTGTTCCAGCTCTACCGCGGAGCTACTTTGAACTTACGAAGAGAACGAAGAAGAAAGTATACTTATAAATGAGGCTGCTTTGGTCGCTCTTCGATGTTCCTATGCCATCTGGTTAGCCCGTGACAGTAAGAAATGATCTACCTTCTACGACAACGCAAAACATGTGAAAGCTGCAACCAGGATCGCAAGTACTGGTGGAATACAGTAAGAGTAACACTAGATGCTGACTAGATGTATAGATGGAGTTGCTATCGAACGATATAGATAACTCAGGTAAACACGTAAATTTGTTATCATAGTAATTTGTTGATTTTTCTCATACACATTATAGCTCTTAAATTAGAAGCAAATCAAAGCCTTCATGTTGTATAGCAGGTTTCTATGCAATTATGATAGTAAATAGGATCTGGCCGACAGCGACTTACATTCTTACGTAGTATTTCGATCATGTGCAGATTATCACATGATCGAAATATTACAGAGATAAAATGTCACAACAGTGAAGTTAGCTTGGATCAGAGCAAAATCACATGTGATAGCTACGAGCTTTAGTTTTCTTGTAGGCAGTGTAATATTATCCCGCATAACTTGTCATTTTCTTCACGGCAGTGCTTTTTGTTCTGCTTTGAACTAACTATGCGTAATTCAAAAACAAAAAATTCTATCTGAACCGTACGTCGTATGAGTCGGACTTTTTAAAGTTGCGTACAAGTACGTACTTTTCCCCCGAAACGAGTCCGTACTTCTCATCTTAGATCTCAAGGCAACACTACTTTTTACCACTTTTTACCACATTCTTACCACACGAACTGTGAAAGCTCAGTACTGGGCCCATAAACCATGTGAATTCGAGGAACCATGGAACATTCTTTGAAAATGACAGTTAAAATTGAATAGTTAGTATGTCACTCAGATCTGTAATCTATACACTCACCTCGGAGCTGAGCCAACTCCCTACACACATTTAACATTACACACTCCAATGTAATTACCGTTAAGTTTAAATATTTAATACTACTAGCACGTGCGCGCGGCTCAGATCACGTTCTCTGATCTCTGCAGTCACGGACAGAATTATATACAAGTTTCATATAAAATACACTTCCGTCGGCATTTTTTGTAAGTCTGTCTGCGCTTCTATTAATTCCGGCTGTTATCACTGGCGTGCTGATAGGCGCTGGTAAAATATGTTACACAGCCGATAAGTTTAATGATCAGTGACTGTTTTTGTACGACGCCACCGTAGAATTTGCCACCAAAGAGTTCCGGACCCACTTACTTGACTTGTAAAATGAACCATACTATTAATTATTATAGCTGATCACTAACTGCAAACTGTTTATGACATGATAGCATTCTATCCAGCGATTTTTTAGCAAGCTTCTACGGTAAAAACGTCAACCATTCCAAACCCCACCGCTCTTCCTCGTCGCAACAGACACAGAAAGAGGGTATCGTTTACTTAACTGGCGTGCACTGTTCTTTAAGTTACGAGTTGGTTAAATTAGTCTAAAACCGGAGGGGGGGGGGTGGGGGGGGGGGGTTGGAACTTCGGTATTTTTTAGGCACGTCACGTGAATTGTCAAGTGCAGACGGTAGTATTAATAGTTTTAAGAGATCATATTATGTGCAAATGACACGTGACATGGATCAATCAATATCAATATTTATATAGCCACACACTTTTACAATCGCTAGATTGTAATAAGAGTAAATAGCACAATTTTTATCCATGCAATTCATCCCACGTAACTGGGATATTATTAGACTTAGCTATTAAAATCCCAATCGATTTTTACGCTAAACAGAACGGCTATGCTAGAAGCCTTAATGAATGGGTTTTATATAGAATTAAATTCTAAACGCACACTTAATTTTCAGGAGACGATATATTTTTGGTCAGAAATTTGCGGAGTTCTTTCGTTTTGCCATCAGTCTTGGCTGTAATTGTATCTCTCAAAATCAGGTATTCACTATATTACTATCCTGCCTGGCTAAAACCCTGGTTATTAAAACTAAAAGCCTTCTTGCTGTTCATCGTTAATTAAAAATAAATCAGATTTGTGAATAATTTACTGTCATCTCCTTGGTAATTTCATGATACTGATAGAATTTTCTCTCATTTTCATACGTAGTACCTTATTTTCTTTCCCTCAGTGACGGTTCGAGGAGACACTGCATTTCACTGCTCGGTGACGACACGGGGATATAATATGAGGCTGTTATCTCTCTTAGAGTCCACTGCACGTCGTCACAGAGCCTCAGTCCAATCAAAGCAAGCAGCAAAGATCAAAAAAGACTTTACGTCCAATGTCAGACAAATAAATTTCGACGGAAAACTCCTAGCAGACCTCGGAGGATTTAGGAAAGTGAACAGACTGGCTGTGGTCCTAGTACAAGATGAAGAGAACAAGATACTCGCAATCTGTAAGACGAGGGACTAGGACGAAGCAGACAAAGTGGAGAAGATGCTCGACGACCAGATAAAATAATAGCCGTTGGATTTGATACGACATCATCCAATATTGGAGTTCACAGAAAAGCATGTACTATTCTTCAGCAATTCCTCATCGACAGATCCTCTGGATGGCCTGCAGCCATCAGGTCCTGGAGGCGGAGCTTGTAAGAGGATCTCCCTACAAGCAACTGTTCGGTGACACAACATCACTCGAAATAACCCTTTTGAAGATCAAGAAGACCTCCTGGGAAGATTTCGATCTGCAGAACATCGTCCTTACCGATATCCTTACATGCTACAGGAACGACGTGTTTATATAGTAGGAGACCTTCTATCCTTTATTAATCACATCCACCAACTCAACAACCAGCCCAGGAAATTACAAGGAATTCCTAGAGCTTGCTTAACTAATCCATGGAGAAAGCATATATATGAAGAAAGGATACGTCTTCCAGATACAAAGACCTGGAGCTGACCACCGTCCACCATGCCATCTACAATGTAGATGGCATGGTGGACGGTGGTCAGCTCCAGCTTCTACATTATGATAGATACCATTTCACTGGACGAAGAAGAGAAATGTGTTCACTTTGTTGTCTTCGTTTACTTGAGAGCTTGGTTCAGCGCTTCTTTCCTTGAATCTGCAGCCTCCGACGACATCCGTTTCTTACAGAGTCTTCAGAAGTACAAGAGTGTGGACAGAGTATCAGCCATCACCACGATAGTCCTCAACAGGCACACATGGTACCTGACTGGAGAGCTTGTCCCACTATCCTTGTTTGATGAAGACCTACCTCTAGAGCGAAGAAGTCTCTTTGTAGCAAGAATAGGACAACAAACTCTTGGAGCAATTCAAGTTGGAACTTGAAAAATTGTTTGGTTGTTATTGAGCGGGTATTGAGCCTTATGAACGTCAATTATATTATTATTAAGCCTAATTGATCAAAATTTATTTGGATATATTTTGGTTTTATGAACCTCTTCATAATAGCCAGGTGGTATGACCAAATAAGGATGTTGGTCTAATTTCTCGTACGGATTAGGGTTCTCAACATACGCTCTACACTCTAGTTTGGGTTTGGATTTTAAATAGTCACTAAGGACAACTTAGAGTACGTGTTAAAGTATGTTATGTGTTAGTATATATATGCGAAGATAAATCATCTTCGCATGTTTAGTATAGACCTTGTTGTGAAACTTAGTACGGTGCTCCGCAGTTAATGTCATTCTGTATTATACGAAAATACATAGCTAGTAAGAGATGTATCTCTCGTATCGAAATCTTTGAAATATCTAATCGATAGAGTCGTATTACCTGGGGACCCCGTTTTAGGTTTTCATACACGTATTAATTGAATATTATTAAAATTAACTAAAGTCTCATATTAATATAACGACTTTGTTTGAGAACACAAAGCCTGGGGTCGCCGGGTAAATTCAAAGCTAGAAGCATGGTGAGCGATTTGTGTATTTCTCGTAAATCTATTTGTCAATAATTTACGAATGACTCCATCATGTACTGTTTGTTCTCTTTAAAGTATGTAATCAAATTATTAGAATATGAAAGTTAACATACATATACATTTTGTGATATGTCTACCACCTTTTTCCACTTGAAATTGCACTAACTTTGTGATTAAAAAACAGTTATCAATGGTCTATTTCAAAAATATCATGAATCTATAACACATTTTTTTAGTCGAATGTGATTAGCGTCTTGAAAGTTTACACGAAGTCAATCCTGTGAAAGTATACTCCTTGCTTAGTAATTTCTACTATTACACGTGTTTTTCTTTCCGGTCACGCCAAATTATAATGATATTAGTGTGTAAAGTAATCGTTGACATCACTCCGCAACTGCGCGTCTTTTGGCGCGTATCTTGCTGGAATTCATCAATTCCTCTCTAGATCGGCGAGATGCGCTACTGTGCCGCGCCGAGCTGAGATGAATTGACATCGTCAATTAACGATCTAGCGTGAGAAGCATAATTTAGTGCGCGGCGCGGCACAGTAACGCATCGCGTTAAATTACAACACATCTCGCCTATCTAACGAAGGTTGCGAGAAACATTATTGGATGCACGGCCCATTAACGCATCTTAATTGACGATGTCAATTCAGCTCGGCGCGGCACAGTAGCGCATCTCGCCGATCTAGAGAATTGACATCGTCAATTACAATTAAGCTCTTGTCTCATGTTGTAAACTTTTGTATCACGTGGTGACCCCACTGTCGCTTCACTATGTCTATAGTGTAGAGTTTCTACGATACAGTTGATACATGTTTCGTATCCTTCGCGCGCGAAAAGTGGCATGCAACATATGTCAACGATACAGGTTGTAGCGCGATGCACTACTGGGTCGCGCCGCGCATTAAATAATTCTTCTCGCAACCACATATGCAGATCGGCGAGATGCGAAGGATTGACATCGTGAATCAACGATACAGGGGGAGTTACCTGAGGACCCCAGGCTTTAATGTTGTTAAACAACATTATAGAATAGAGATTAGGCGGAATGACAGGCTGAGCACGGCCCAGTAAAGGGGGAGCCGCGCAATCGTGCGCGGCGGGTTATACAACGTATGACAAGTAGACCATTGTCATACGTTGTATGACCGGGTGCGCGGCTCCCCCTGTATCGTTGAAACTCTATAGTGAAGCGACAGTGGGAGTCACCACGGATACAATGGGGATCACCTTGTCCGGCCGCCGGATCAAGCGCGATCAACAATCAAAAGGGGTTGCGACGTGTGTCAATACAAGCTTTAAAGTTACAGTGCACAAATTTGAAATTAAAAATTTTTACTTTCAATTTTTGTTTTGTATTTGCTCATAAGTTAATTGGCGATCATGTCAATTCATCTCAGCTCGGTGCAGCACAGTAGCGCATTTCGCCGTTCTTTGTAGTGCGATGCACTACTGGGTCGCGCCGCGCATCAAATAATTCTTCTCGCAACCACTTCGGTAGATCGGCAAGATGCACCACTGTGCCTCACTGAGCTGCGAAGGATTGACATCGTGAATCAAGCCCAAAGCCGGTCTGTGAGAAGCTTGACCATTGTTCATGATCTGGCCCGGCGCGCGCTACTTCGAAGAAATTTAGACGAGTAACATCCGTCAATGAGAAGCCTCATTGAGTGCGCGGCGCGGCACGCATCGCGCTACAACTCATAAGTAGGTGCACGATAAAAAATAAACTTGCTCGGATTTTTAAAAGTTTGTATTACTGTTTTCTAGAGACTGTGAGAATTTTTCACAATACCAAATTTGTTATACCTTTTTGGAAAGATCAATGAGTTTCGCCTAGGTGCCATATTTGATGGTGTTCGGCTTTTTATTTGGAGTAAAAGTCGCGTAATTTGACCTTGTCATACGTTGTATGACCCGCCGCGCACGAAGTGCGCGGCTCCCCCTGTATCGTCAGGACGATAAAGTGAAACGACCGTGGGGGTCGCAACGTGATACAAGAGTATCACCCGTTAAGTATTTATATTATTCGGATAAATCTTCGGTTCCTTGAATGAGATCATTCTGAAAATTGGCGACGACCTTCCAATAGGGCTTTCACAACTGTCCGAAAAATTTGGTGGATATCGGAGTTGATATAGTGATCAAAATGGGGCAAAATACGCTGCTTTTAGCTGTAACATAATGTTTGATGGTTGGACATGCTTTAAATTTTTCAAGAGTCGGAAACTGCCATCTGTTCTGACATTTATAGACTTTAAGAAGGCTTTTAGCAGTGTACATCGTGGGAAAATGTTCAAGATTCTAGGAGCTTACGGCATTCCAGTCAAAATCGTAGAGCTTATACGGCTCATGTACGAGAAGACAATGTCCAAAGTCCTAACTCCAGACGGAGAAACGGAATTGTTCGATATACTAGCAGGTGTTTTACAGGGTGATACCTTAGCACCTTACCTCTTTACAATAGTCATCGACTACTGTATGAGGCAAGCCGGGCCATAGGTGATGATGCAGAGCTTGGAACTTGGACTCACTCTCGAAAATAAAACTTATATCTGAGGACATGGACAAGGCTAACGAGTTCCTGCTCTGAGTAGAATCGTCGGCAGCGAGTGTGGGGCTACACGTAAACGAAGGCAAGATCAAGGTTATGACATTGAATATGGAGGATCGATCTAGCGACCTCCAAAGTCGATCTGGGACAGCCATAGAAAATGTGGATGATTTCATCTACTTGGATTGAGAGCACAGCTCAGGTAGAGAGATAAGGGTCAGAAAGGGAAAAGCATGGGGTGCTCTACATAGACTGAATGATATCTGGAAATCCAAACTCTCAAAGAGCCTTAAGATTAAATTGTTCATAGCGGCTTGTGAGTCAGTACTTCTCTACGGATCAGAAACCTGGACACTAACAAATGCTCAAGAGAAAAGTTTGGACAGGATATACACAAAGATGCTGCGCGCAGCTCTACGCAGCTGCGTATAATGCTTGGTATCACATGGAAGGACAAGGTCAGCAAAATAACTTTGTACATGGTAGCCTACTAAGGCTGTCAAACAAGTTACGAAGCAAGAGATTAAAAATGGCGAGACAATGCATCAGATATCCTGAGCTACTTGCCAGTGATTTAGTCTTATTGGGCACCTATGCATGGTAAAGCACAGCAAGGCCGACCAAGACAAAGCTACTTGTCTATGTTACTGAAGGAAGTTGGGAAAAACTCTAAAGAGGAACTGCAAACCCTGATGCGGGACAGGGATATATGGAGGGGGCTATCTGGCGTAGATCGGACTTATTTCCGACAAAGTTGTAGTAGTATTAGTAGTCTGCACTGGATAATTAAATTAATTAAATGTTGCTCCACCTGGCATCAAGACGATCTC